TTCATTTGGTGTTACCATGATACTTCTTACTTGTTTGCTGGTCTTTTAATTTTACTTGAAGAAAGTTCAGCAAAAATACAAAAAAGTGTAATTGAAGAAATTTGGGCTCATTTGTTGTCAATTAGAACTAAATTGCCCATAAAAATACAAAAAAGTGTAATTGAAGAAATTTGGGCTCATTTGTTGTCAGTTAGAACTAAATTGCCTATACTCCCTCTGACACCTGACATTTTACTAGAAGTTCCACATTGAAACAAGTACTCATTTTTCTGGTCATAATAATGCACCAAACTTATCATACTCTTTGCATTTTACTAAAAAATTAGCAGAAAACTGCTCTTGATACCCCATATTTTGAGAAACTAACTGCCGGGTACCTCATATTTTCAAAATATACTCCGAGGTACCTTCTATTTTGAGAAACTAACTATCGGGTACCTCACATTTTTAAAATATACTCCGAGTTACCTTCTATTTTGCGAAACTAACTATCGGGTACCTCACATTTTTAAAATATACTCCGAGGTACCGCCTATTTTGAGAAATTAACTATCGGGTACCTCACATTTTAAAAATATGTTCCAGGGTACCTCCAAATATACATTAATTTTACGCCATTAATTTTAATAAATAGGGGTTTGGAATTTTAAAAGTAACCAAGATCTTTTTAATTTGAAGAAAATTGTACTCTTTAATTTGAAGAAAATTGAGTACTCAATTTTCTTTAAATTAAAAAGATCTTGGTTTTTTTAAAATTCCAAACCCCTATTTCTTAAAATTAATGGCGTAAAATTAATGTATATTTGGAGGTATTCTGGAGTATATTTAAAAAATGTGAGGTACCCGATAGTTAGTTTCTCAAAATAGAGGATACCTCGGAGTATATTTTAAAAATGTGAGGTACCCGATAGTTAGTTTCTCAAAATAGAAGGTAACTCGGAGTATATTTTGAAAATGTGAGGTACGTGGCAGTTAGTTTCTCAAAATATGGGGTACCCAGGAGCACTTTTCTGAAAAAATTAGTAGTTTCTCATTCCAATAAAAATGTCTTGCATGTAAACGTATGATTTTGTAATTGTGGAAAGCTGGAACAGTTTCACTTAAAATTCATGGAATCCTACATTTATTTTAAACAACTTTTTGTGAGATTTTATTCGGTTTTTTGTTGTATATTTGTTGGGAATTAGTCATATTTAACTTGATTGTAACTCTTTTTTAATAGAAAATTACATGAAAAATGTAACGCCCTGAAACCCGGTCAATCAGAATTAATTAGTTAGAAAACAATTAATTGATTATCGAGACGTACTCGGGGTTAATTAGAAATAATTCTCAATAAATTATAAGAATTATACCATTGTGTAGGGTTCGATGAGACGAATCCAATGGTGCAAACGGAACCAAATTCGGAGCTAGTTGGCTCGAAAAGTGTATTTTTCCTAAGGTAGGTTATTTAATTACAGAGCACGAATCCCTAGGGTATTTAAATAAACCCTTTACGTGCATATGCACGATCACACGCCGCATACACACTCCCGTAACTCTCTCTCACCGATCCCCGAGATCGAGGAAGAGAAGGAGAAGAAGGATGGATAACTTGATGTAGATATATAATACTCCCTCCGTCCCGCTATATTTGTCCACTTTTGATTTTTGGAACTGTTCATCTAAGCACTTTGACTCATCAAATTCTCTCAATGTGTAAGCCTAAATATAGTCATGCGTGATCTTGTTTGATTTGTCTTAACATATAGATTATTAATATATAATTTCTATAATTTTTTAATATACAAATTACAAGATAAAATGGATTAAAGAAGTGTATTGGATGGTGTGCAAAAATGAAAGTGGACAAATATAGTGGGACGGAAGAAGTATCTCATAACAAAATTTGATTATTGATAGAATCTTTATTTATATTTTGTATTATATATTTAAGGGATTTATAATTACTAGAAGCAAATTATAGAATCAGCAAACCATATAGTATTCCTTATTAAAAATTTCCTTTTAAAATATTGATGAGACACACAATGTAGTAGTTTTATTTATTAAACATTCTATCTATATCAAGGTGACTATCCTTATTTTATTTTAGAAATCTATTTTTGGCAAAGGTTACGTTTGTTGACATGACTGAGTAATTTGTCTAAAGCAAAAATCTATTCCAGCCAGGCAAAAGCCTCTTATTCTTGAAACAGACTCTAATATGTAATGACCATGACCACTGATTTCACTAGCTGCATTTATTCTTGTGTGACTGATATGACGTAATGACAAGCATGCATGAAATCACTAGTAACATCCCAAGCCTGTTTGGCAATGTTTATTAGTTGATCTGACTGAAAAAAATTTCCTAGAGACAAAAGACTTTCTAAATATCCATTCCAACCTAAGTTAAAAAAGTGTATTTATTTTTCTTATTCTAGCCTAAGTAAGTTAAAAAATAAGTGTTCTTATTTTTCTTATTCGCTTATCAATAGAATAAGAAAAATAAGTACATATTTTTAACTTACTTAGGCTGGAATGGATATTTACCGAGTGCTTTCTCTCTAGGAAAATTTATTTAGTCGGTCAACAAATAAACATTGCCAAACAAGCTTGGGATGTTACTAGTAATTCCACGCATGCTTGTCATTACGTCATATCAGTAACACAAGAATAAATGCAGCTACTGAAATCAGACATGATGGTCATTAGATTTAAGTCTATTTCAAGAATAAGAGGCTTTCAACTAATATAAAAGACTGGAATAGATTTCTAGTTTAGACAAATTACTTAGTCATGTCAACAAAGGTAACCTTTGCCAAACAAGTTTTGAATAAAAAGAAACATTAATGAAATTATTGAAGTACGAACCTCTAAGCTTCCAGTCAATACCAAAAAATTGCTGCTGGTACCCCTTATTTTGTGTAAGAACTCGCAGGTCCCATTGTTTTTCAAAATATACTCCGAGGTACCTTAAGATATTTGAAAACTGACTCCGGGGTGACAATCCGTCATTCTCTCCGTTAATATTCCTTCTCCGTTATCCTCTTCTTCTTCTTCTTCTTCTTCTTCTTCTTCTTCTTCTTCTTCTTCTTCTTCTTCTTCTTCTTCTTCTTCTTCTTCTTCTTTCTCCTGCCTTCCAGTGTGACCTCCATTCCTCCCCCCCCCCGTTTTTTTTCTTTTACCTTTTGTTTTGTTTTTTTTCTACTTCTTCTATTATAATTATTATTATTTGTTATTAATTATTATAATTACTTCATAATTATTATTTTCTTATTCTATTATTATTATTAATTTTTTAAATTATTATTATTACTATTATTATTAAAAATTAATTGTTAGTTTTACCACTCTTTTCTATAAAAACACTAATTGTTATTTAGAAAATTGCACTTATTATAAAATAACACTTATTATTAATACTATTATTTATTTTAAGCAATTGATTAGTAATTTTACTTCTGTATTGTTTTATAAAAATACTGCTAGTTATTATTATTACTTCATATTTTATTATGTATTGTTATTTTATTATTTTTTATTATTATAATAATTATTTATTATTATTATTATTATTATTTTATTTAATTAGTATTTTTACTACTCTAACTTTTTTTTATTAGTTTTACTACTCTAAATCTTTAATTGAAAATTAATTTTAGTAATATATTTACGTATCATATATAAAATCAAAATTATTTATTCACTTGGTTATAAATTATACGTCGTAATTCATAATAATATTAAATGTAGCACTATTTTTATTGTTTCATATTATCTTTACAAAAATCCAGAGGTACTTATTCATCTTATTCTTTTCTCAAGTCCTCTTGTTTTCTCGATTTACCGTGACACCACTACTAATGGCGACTATCAATGACAAATGCGGAGTACTATTTTTCTAAATAATAATGATTGTTACTCCGTATTTCTTAAAAATATAGTAATAAAATTACTACTCTGCAATTAATTTTTAATAATAATTAAGAAAATAATAGGAAATACGGAGTACATAATACTCCGTATTATCTCTGTCTCGAAGCATATGTCAGGTTTTGACTTTTTTCAATCAACTGTTTTTAATTTTTGACCTATAATTAAATAAAACATATATTGTATATTAATTCGATAAAGTAATATTTTGAAAATATTTTATATATTAAATCTAATAAAACTATTTTTGTATAAATATTTAATATTATTTTTATCAATTTTGACCGAAAAAAACAAAAGTAGACAAATACTCTAGAACAGAAGAGTAATTAATATGAAGTAATAATAATAACTAGTGGTATTTTTATAAAAAAGTACAGAAGTAAAATTACTAATTAATTGCTTAAAATAAATAATAGTATTAATAATAAGTGTTATTTTATAATAAGTGCAATTTTCTAAATAACAATTAGTGTTTTTATAGAAAAGAGTGGTAAAACTAACAATTAATTTTTAATAATAATAGTAATAATAATAATTTAAAAAATTAATAATAATAATAATAAAAGAATAAGAAAATACTAATAATTATGAAATAATTATAATAATTAATAACAAATAATAATAATTATAATAGAAGAAGAAGAAAAAAAACAAAACAAAAGGTAAAAGAAGAAAAAAAAACAGGGGTGGGGGGGGGGGAATGGAGGTCACTGGAAGGCAGGAGAAAGAAGAAGAAAAGAAGAAAAGAAGAAGAAGAAGAAGAAGAAAAGAAGAAGAAGAAGAAGAAAAGAAGAAAAGAAGAAGAAGAAGAAGAAGAAGAAGAAGAAAAGAAGAAGAAGAAGAAGAAAAGAAGAAAAGAAGAAGAAGAAGAAGAAACGAAGAAAAGAAAAAAGAAGAAAAAGAAGAAGAAGAAGAGAAGGAGAAGAAGAAGGAGAAGAAGAAGAGGAGGATAACAGAGAAGGAATATTAACAGAGAGAGACGGATTGTCACCCCGGAGTCAGTTTTCGAATATCTTAAGGTACCTCGGAGTATATTTTGAAAAACAATGGGACTTGCGAGTTCTTAGTACAAAATTAGGGGTACCCAGCAGCAATTTTTTGAGTCAATACATCTAGTTTGATAGAGTCATATAATCCAAATTACTAACCACAGTAAAGAATAATTCCGGCACAGGAAATGCCAAAATGGTGAATCCACAGTAAAGTCCAGCAATACCATCATAGGCAAACGTCTTTTTATAGACATCAACCAAGCATTGAATTTCCTCTCACCTCCCATCTTAGGAGCCTTGAGATCATTTAGCCAAACTGGTACGGGCATAGTCCAATGAATAGACACAGTAATGTTGAAGCACCTGCAGCACCCCCTAATGCAAGGTTTGCAGCAAAACATTTCGCGTAGCCATCACATTCCTTCTTGATAGTCAGGAAGCTCTTGAAGTAATCTTTGAATGCAAAGTTCAGGAGAGCCTACAGAAGCACACATGGGGTATCCATTATCAAATAGCTATAAAACATGGCTAAAAACAAAAAAGTGCATATTGGAGATTCCTAAATAAAACAAAGAAGAAAGAAGTGGACCTGGGTGGGAAAGCATTGTATTGCACTGACGGTGTTTCCTCTCCACAATGAAACAAAACCTTCATCCTTGATGGTTCGACTAAAGAACTCATCACCAATACCCTTGTAAGGTTCAGATAGCCTACCTAACTTTATTATCTCATCTTGGTTCTTGGTTTTGAATTAGCAGTTTAACACGCTCAATGAGGGCAGCTACAGTCTTTGAGACAGCGGATGAAACCCCACCCATGAGAAAGTCAACCACAAAACAAGCAAATCCTTTCATTGGAGGAGCTTGCACAATGACTGGTGCACCATTTTCAGTAATTGATGGAAGATCCAAGCTGGTCTGGCATTCTTTCAAACAAGTAATGTAGCAGTTTTCAAAGACGAAATGACTTGAGTACAACATACATAGCTTGGCCATTTTCACAAAGATTTGAGCTCAGTTGACATCGGTTAGCTACCTCTACGTTCTGAACAACAGTTGGGTTGTGAGATATATCTGCCATTTTTCTTTAAGCTCCTGCAAAGTGAAAGTGCAAAACAAATTAATCAACACTTAGTTCTTCCATTAATAAAATAAAAAAAGAAAACAAATAACCCACATGAAAATCATAAACAAGATACGTTGACAAAACTGTATACAGATTTCACATAGGGTCTGCAATATCATTACCAATACAGAATAATCTCTAACACTTAGGATGGTTCAACCACCAGCTATTTGTTAGAACTCTATTCAGAAATATGGTTATACACGAAATACATTAACAAAGCTCAAACAAGGATACTACTGCAGATACAATAGCTTTCCAACTTAAATATTATCAATCCGTAAAAGCAGGACTTATACCACGTCACTGTCAATTACGGCAGAGTAAAGAGTACTCCCTCCGTCCTCATTCATCTCATTTGACTTTTCACGGTCTCCAATACAACACTTTGACCATTAAATTTTTTATTTATATTATATAAATATGATATCTCAAAACTATGTTTCAAAATGAACCTATTGATATTCAATCTATATCACAATTCCAAGGTAGTCAAACTCGAGATCCTACAAAGGTTCTCAAAGTTTTTCAAATGTTGACCAAGAAAAGTTGAGCCCCTTTTTAAAATGTGAGTCGTTTAAAACATGAAGTTCCTATGTCGAGCCCCTTTTTTAGCATTACTCAGCTCATACTTGATAAGATGTTTAATCTTTAAAAGGCTATCTATTTAACTTTCAAATGATTTCATTCCCATATTTTGATTTTTTTATTAATGCAAAATGCCTTGGCACATGCCATCTGGAATATAGGTTCGTGATCGTATAATATTGCTCTCTTCTAGTGTTAATTACAAGTTCTAAGTACAGTACTTGGAATTGTCTGCCTAAGTTAAATGGTTTTGCTGCTCCTTGATATCAACATGAAGACCTTATTTGTACAGTTGTACTTTGGTTATTGTCCAACCTAATCGCTGCTCAGAGCAGCATTTGATGTGTCAAAAAGAGTGTCTTAGATGTCAAACACTGATACACAAACAAGGCCAATGAAATTTTTAGATAGAAAGATTGATACCAAGACAATACAGATCCTGTGAGGCATTCATGTAATTGTCTACTGTTTGACAACTATACCATCCAGTATGACATGGTTGAAGTGGAGAAGGTGGTTGAAAATGTAACTGAACTTCCTGACCCCAAGGTATACACTTTCAATGCTCATATTTTAAAATTTGTATGTAATCCTCAGTTCTTTTTTTTTCTTATATGCTTCTTGAAATATTTTTTAAACTTTAAATTGATCTTGTTTGAAAATTGTTCTTGCCATGTCTAAATCAATATGCTTCCAAAATTGACTAAATACTTAGAGATACACAATTCCAAGTTGTTTCAGCTTCTAGCAGATGTTCGTGAGGCATTTGATTTAGCATATGACAACATATATGCCTTTCATGCTGCACAAAAGCCTGCTGAGAGAACTGTTGAGAACATGCATGTATCATTTATGCAATGATTTTGTACTTGAATATACAATCTTAGGGTGTGTTTGGATAACAAAGTGTACTTGCATGACCATGTTTTTACTAGGGTAGTAATTACACGAGTGAGTAATTAACTCCGTAATTGGTAGTAACCATATCAACTACAAACTCAATAATGGTATTGATTTTTTAATAATCATTCAATGTGGCAAAGATAAATCCATAAACAACATTGTTTTTTTGGCACCCTTTCTTGGAACCAAAACTTGAGACCCACACAAAATGTTCTCTCCAAAGATGGGAACAAAATGGCGACAAGCTGGACTATGCTTCTTTTTTTCTTTTCTTTTTTACCTATCTCTACATTCTCTTCATTTTCTATTTTTCTATCTATCCAAACAATTTTTTTTCATTTCTTCTCCACTTCCTATTCTCTCCAATTTCATTCTTCTGATTCTCTCTTCTCATCCATACAAAGGCTAAGTGACTTAGCAGGAACAAAAGCGGCAAAAGTTCAAGTTAGGCACCAAAAATGGAAAAATGAGAATTGTTGACCAAAACACCTAATAATCACATGACTAAAAGTGAACACATAAGAAACACATTATTTCAAAATGTTTATAAATTGAATTTTGGGAGCAAAGGAGTATTGTTCTTTACTCTGCGTAATTGAAGCCAATAAGAATTTTAAAAACTGTGAATGACACTAACTTCATTATTATTTAAGGCCTACATTGGACGCTTGAAATGTAAAGGGTCAAATATAATGTTCAAGTGTGGAGTCACGCTCACCTGATACCTAGTAGTGACCTGTTTCATAGGAACTACCCATGCACCTGGAATACATAAAAAGGACACATATATTTAGTCTGAAAACAGTTCTTTAGAGTGGAAAAGTAACTTCCAAACTCGATAATCCTCGCATACTAAAATCATGCAAACAACAACAAAAGAGTCACCTTTCTAGTTGGGTCACTTAGTTCTACCTTTTGTTTAACGAATAAAAAGCCCAGAGAAAACCAATACTTCATATTACTTTCAAAAGATAAATGGCAACTTGGCTCTTGATTTGCATATAATGAGCACAACAGATGATTGCCTAGCTTATGAATGTTAAGATGTAACAGTGACTATAAATCCTATTGTCTCAAGCCTATTATCTTTCTTTTATTCATCACTTGATCAATACTCTAAATAGATAATAGAAATGTAGAGTGGAAAGAAGCATGGTAACAACCCATGATATTCAGGAACCATATATAAATCTTATATATTCATCTTCCCCTCATGTTCTCTCTTTTTCCCGTTTAGCATGAAATTAACTTGAATTTCTTCATCTACCTATTTTTCTATCAAAATAACATGACAAAATCAGGATAAAAAGTGCATAAGATAGATCTTTACCTGAGGTCATTTAGCAAAATCCATGTGTTCATATTTTTTTCCAAAGGTTGTTACACCAAAAAGAGTAATAAGAGATGTATTTTTAAAAACATTGATTTAGTTGCTGAAATTTTAACCCTTAGTCAGTTAGTCATATGTCATAGTGAGAACCTACTTTCAAGAATTTCAAAAAACCGTTGCTTGTATTAAATCCTCGTGTTCCATCTCTCCACTAACCCAAGTTTAGGATCAGGTAGTTTATCATAGTTCTACACTTCAAGAAAGAAATTATCAACATAGGCTATGCAATAATAAGATAGATACTCAACCTCACACCTTTTTGTATACTGCATGGTGAAATACATGAAAGGGCATGGGATCAAATATCATGACTACGATTTTTCATTAGCTTGTAAATATTATCCTAGTCAGATTTCATCTCATTATCATTATTCAAATTATAATAACCCGTTGAGTAGATCTTTCAACCACTTATAAGTTATAACTGGCAGGGGGTGGTTTGTACCTACATGTTCTTCGTTTGTGAATGACAACATCAATTTTTCTTAAGTTTCTATACACTACAAATTGCAATCATACAAATTTTGAAATGATGACACTCTTCAATTGAAGAGCTGCAATAGTTCATACTGATTCTGATGATATCACTCTTCATTTAAAGAATAAAACTTGTAATAAACAAAATAATCTGCTAAAATGAGCTGCAATAGTTCATACTGACTCTGATGATATCACTCTTCAAGTTTAGAGTAATTATTCAAAACCTATTCAAGATTGGTTTTGAAACTGGAACCATATTCTGATACTCTGTCAAAACACATTTTCAGGAGCATATTCAAACACCATCCAGATACATATTCAAAACTGGAATAAAAAATCAAATTTAAAAAACATCAAATTATAAAGAACTCATCTAGAACCTTATCATAAGAAAGCCTATCTTTTGATTTGTCATTATATCGTTACTAAGTTCAAAAAGTGATACCTATTTGATTTGAGGGATGGAATTTATCACACAACTGGTGAACCTGCTCTCAACCATTGCACTAAATGGAATTTAACAAATAGATGCACCTCTTCCTTAATCAGGATCCTGTTAATTGTAAAATACATGGCCAGAATCAGAATCAGTGACTTATAAATTGAAAGTTTCAATAAGAAATTGAGAGGAAAAAACTACAGAAACTTGTGAAATATAGAAGGAAAAAAGTGCATAAATTTTAGAAATACAGAACTTAGGAAAGAAAGAATAATCAGACAACATTTAGTATTTCATACGATCATAAATATGTGGCAGGGAAGGATGGCGCCATCGCATATTACTCAATAAATTAATCTAGTCTTCTTATTCATTGTAGTCTTCCAATTAAGCTGAGATGAAATATTATAATATATCAAAAGCCAATCCCAACAATAAGCTTATTACTAGGTCATCACACAATCAACCTTCTCTCTACAACAACACAATGTTGGTAGTACCTTTTTCAAAGTTTATCATTGTTTGAACTTTCTCTAAATTATCTCTTTCAACTTTTATTTCTTTGCTTTCTTCTTCATCTTCTTTGGCCTCTCCTTTTCCATTCTAGCTCTACAATTTTTTTTTGTTCTTTGTTTGCTCTGAAGCTGATATTGGATTTGCAACTACTCACAGCAGGGTAGAGTCTCCACAATTCCTAGAGGTTCTCGAACATAGCTCATTCTTGATGATTGGCGGCTATCTTCTTGAGCTGTCTTGAGCTGCAACTGAAAACATTCTGCAACTTCAGATTGTCAAAGTAAGAAATGGTGAAGAAAGGCTTATCTAATCTAACTTCCAGTATGATATCATTAATTATAATATACTAATATCAAATATCTAACCTCTAAAAGTAGAATTGGTTGGAGAAGAACATCTTGAGCTTTGCTTTCCTTTTGTGTTCGCAGGCTGTCGGAATCATACACAAAATAAAAGCACAAATGGTTAATAAAGTGAAACAAACTCAAAGACTTGCAAGTTAGCTTAAAAGCAATCAACTTTTGAGCAAGTCATATCTAGAAGGTAGGGCTCTCTGTTTTCAGGTGTATACCGTTGCCAGCACCACATATTTAATAACATTTCAAATCGGTATGTCTAACACATACTTATGATGAACCTAATCGGGTAAGATCAAATTCAAAACAAAGTAAAAAAAGGCACAAATTTTGTAAAGAAAAAATAGAAGAAAAAAGATGTAAGTAGAGAGATATTTATGCTAACCATCTGATAGCACAGAACCATTCAAAGAAATCAAAATCTGTAGTAATTGTAAACAAGTGACTAATAAGTACTACCGGTACCCCCACAAATGACTACGTACTACCAGGTACCCATACAAAATAATGAGAAAGGAATCAAAATTTAAAAATGCTAGAAATCTACAACAGGTATCCCACAAATGACAATTACATATGATTAGACATATACAAACGATAATAGTCTGTAAAAACAAAACGATTATTGTTTGTGTACAGATTCAAAATTATTTAAACCAACATTCTCCCTAGTAGACAATGGTGATAAATGCTCTGCATTATTGCAGTGATTTAGGAGCAAAAGAGCCTGGAAAACAAGTATCCATGGCAGGCCTGGATGGTATCGACCAAAGGGCAAGTCTGGCAAGCATCTTCAACGCCCTTGTTCATCCATTTTCTCAACAGATCGTCGGAGATCAATGCGATCTGATGCAGAAGAACTGCGGCGCCAATGGGTCCGACGAGATTCAACCTTGTCGCAGCCGACACGACATCTCTCGATGTTACATACATGTAACCCTTCTGAGAAGTTTCCGCGTCCAATCCGAGAAGGCCGCAGACCAGGCCGAAGACCGGCGCGTGGTGGAAGCTCGATCTGCCCAGCGACGCGTCCCTCATCTTCTTCATCTCCGGGATTTCGGAGAAAACAGAGGACGCGACTCTCATCAGGGCCGATCCCTGCGACATCGACGCCTTCCGGCTCACATCGTTCGTCATCATCGCGTGGAGCGTGGCGTCGAGCTTGTTCCATGTGTCGATGTCCGGAGATACGGCGGCGGAGTGGACGAAAGGGAGGAGAAGGCTTGCGGTGTTCTCCAGGACGTGGATCGAGTACGTTTTCAGATCTTCCGGCCCGGAAACCAAACCTGCTTGAATTGCGGCCTCGAGGCCGGAGGAATGAGCGAATCCGCCGGTGGGAAGAAGGGAATCGAGCAGTTGCCATTGGCTCCACATATGAGGCGGCGCTTTCTTTGCTCCATGGCTTCTCTCCACTTCATCCTTCTCCATAGCTAACATTGGGTTTTGGAATGATGATAGACCAAGTACAATTAACTTCATTCGATTTCAACTACTTCACAAAATAAAAAATATAAAAGTAAAAGGGTGAAAATAGATAAGAGGAGGGAGCTAAAAACCTCTGTCCATCAGAACCAATGGATTTGTTCGCCACCAGAAGCCTCCATCCTCAGTAAATTGCAACTCCCCGTCAACGGCCCTCTGATAATGGCCGCCGAAATGCAGCTAGATAGGCTCTGAACCGAGCCAATGTTCCTGATTCCTTCCCTGTTCCGTTCAAAGCCCCGTCGTAGATGCCAGTCCCTCTGAATATGTGCGAGGTGGGAGATCTGCAAATCTGCGGCGATGTGGTAGCTTTCACGCGGTTGCTTACCCGCGGTGGATTCACTCACCAACTTAGAGCACCCATTGGGTTGGGTGGTGGAGTAAAGGGAGGACTACTCCTCATTCTCTCTTCCACATCAGATTTTGCACATCAGATTTTGTGGACCCGAACTCCTCCATTACTTATCCTTATCTCTTACATTAAAAGGACTACTAAAATAGTAAAATACTATTCATTATACTCTTTAAATGATTTTTTATTAAATATTTATATTATGTACAGTTATATGAATTTACAAATTAATGAAAAATATAATTGTACTTCATTTTTTATGGTTTTGATAATAAAATTGTAATTCATTAATAAAATGAAAAAATTTAATTAAATTTTGTTTCAACAAAAAATATTTAATTTAATTATGCTAAAATATTTTAAAAAACTGTTTATAGATTAACACTACGAATGACTGAATATTAATCGCATTAATTAAAAACATGGATACAATAATTAAAATATCTCGATGAACTACATAAAAGTTAAACATAAAATTAAATAATACTATGTGGTGTTATTGAAACACCAAACATGCTCCATCAAATTCGTTTGTAATTGCCGATGAGTTGCTCTACTTCGAAGAGCGATAGAATTTTGAGTATAATTTAGGACGTAATTCTCATAACTTGGCAAAACGGATTCACCTAAAATTGGCTGTGAAGGTGTGTTATCAACTTCATCAAATGCATCTGTGTTAGCATAATTGGCATAGGTGTCTCGCTCGTCTTCAACTATCATATTATGCATAATGATGCATGCTCTCATGATATTCCCGATATCACTCTGATGATATAATCAGGTAGGGCCACGTACAATAGCGAAACGAGCTTGTAACACCCCAAATGCTCGTTCTACATCTTTGCGATATGATTTTTGTTTTTCTGTAAACAACTTTCGCTTTTCCCCAGTTGGATGTGGGATGGATTTGACAAATGTGGCATACTCAGATATATTTCGTCTACTAAGTAGTACCCAAATCTATATGAGTTACCATTAACAATGAAATTTGCCTCTGACGCTATTCCTTTGAGCACATCATCAAACAAGGGCGATCGATCAAGGATATTGATATCGTTGTTACAACCGCTACTCCAAAAAAAGCATGCCAAATCCACAAATCAGGCCTAGCCACAGCCTCTAGAATTATTGTGGGTGATCCCTTATATCCGCTCGTGTATTGGCCCATCCATGCTGCTGGACAACTTTTCCATTTCTAATGCATGCAATCAATACTCCCTAACATTCCAGGGAACCCGCGCCTATCTGCGATATGCAAAAGGCGACGTATATCATTAGGATTGGGCCGGCACAAATACTCATCTTGAAAAGCTCCATAAACAGCTTAACAAAACCGCTTTAACGATTTTTGTGTTGTTGATTCGCCTATACGGACATAGTCGTCCACAGAGTCGCTTGGCACGCCATACGCCAACATTCATATAGCAGCCGTACATTTTTTCATGGCCGTTAGACCTTTCCGTTGTGTTGCATCACGCCGTTGTTGAAAATATGGATCAATGGCAGAAACTCTTTCTACAATTCGTAGGAACAAATGTCTTCTCATTCGAAACCTTTGACAAAAAACATCAACAGGATATGTTGGATTTTCGTCAAAGTAATCAGCATATAGTCGATCGTGGCCAGATTCACGATTTCTTTCAATGAATCTACGTCGGCGGCGTCTTGGCTCAGACGATGATGCAACAGTTTGGAACTGCTCAATTGCTTCTTTCAATTTGTGGGGTATATCTTGCATAATGGGGTGGGTTATGACTTGGTCGATTAACGTATGCACTTCATCATTAGAAAAGCTACTAATAGAAGAAGAATCAGATGAAGAAGAAGAAGAAGAAGAAGACATGATTTTCAGTAGTGTGGTGAATGAATCCCCTAGAAGAGATTTATATAAGAAGTGAAATGGTGAATTCTCACACAATAAAGATGACAAGTTAACTTTTGGAGTAAACATACCCATGTGACTTACATATATAATATTCAACCATGTGAAAGCTTACACAATAAAGATGACAACTCATATCATCTTTTACTTTTTTGACTAAAAGAACTCTCACCCATGTGAAACCTTATGCAATAAAGGTGACAATTCACATCATCTTAACTCTTTTGACTAAAACAACTCTCACCCATGCGAAATATTACATAATAAAGATGACAATCCATTTAAACATCACATCATAATATTACAGAAATCATACACAATAAAAAAACCTTAGAAAACAAAACATATATAATTAAGTCTAGTCCTGTCGGTTCAATAAAAGTATCGAGGTAAAGAACCGAAAAGAAACCCTCGAAGGAGCTTGTAATTTTGCTCGCCTATTGAAAACTAGATTACAATACATATTTAATAAGAAATATCAAAAATGAACTTCTCCCAATCAATCATCTCACAATGGCAATCCCCGCTTCTCCTTAAGATGTTTAACATAATTTATATGCCACTCTCTTGTTTTCTCATCTTGAATCGACATTGGATCCTTCATTATCACCTTCATATCAGTCCTATACTCGCTGGCTTTGCGTTTATTTTCAAGTGCTTCAATTTTTTCACGTTGTACTTTCATTCTTTCCTCATGAATTTGCACTTGCTTTTCTTGATAATCTTTAATTACAACCGCCATTTCTGAAAGTGGAGCCAAACTTGCTACATCGAAAGATAATTTAGTAACCACAGATGATGAAGGTGCTTTACCTTTTCGTTTTGCAACCTTAATTCCTTCAGGTCAAGCTGGGGATTGGGCTTCATCAGCTCTTTTTGTTGGGTGCCTTCTCCAGTTAAAGATGACGAATATGCTCCTTCTGCATTTATTTTACTTCTTTTGTTGACACCGCTGGTGAAATTTGTTTGTTGGCGCCATGCTCTCCATTTTGGTTGGTCACGAAGCAACCTTTCCCAATATTTTTTGCACTGTTTACTAAGGCGACCCTTATACTTGGATTCGAAAATTTGACATGCATAATTGTCAATATCCGCTTCATTCCAACAACTTTGTGCATTTCGTTGTGCTTCCTCATAGCAAGAACCCCATGCATTAGCCGATGAACTAATCAACTCGAACCGTTTACGTAGCGCTTCGGTCGTGTGAGATGACAAGTGTGGCATAGTTTCAATCACATATGTTCTAATTCTACTCCAAAATGAAACACGAATTTGGTTCGTTTTTGTGACAGGATCAAGGGAAGTATTCAACCATGCACTAACCAAACACGAATCTTCTTCCCATGTCCAATTTTTCTTTTTTCTACTACTTTTCTCCACTTGAATTTGGTCATGGGTTTCAGCTTCATTAATACTCTACCGAGTCTTGGGAGAGTGTGAAGGAGGACTACCCATGGGGTGTGGCATAGGTTTTTGCGAGAATTGAAAAAGATTGTTGTAGGGATGCATGGGCATTGGGGAATATGATTGGAAATAGTTTGGATTCGTGGGTAATTGAGTGTAGAAATTTTTATTGGTAGGAATTTGTTGGGGTAAATTGGGATTTTGATTTGGATAATTGTGTTGGAACCATTGGTTGAAATCGGATTCATTTCGATCCATTCTATACAAAAAAAGTGAAAGTACAAAATAGTAGATAGAAGAATATGTAGAAGAAGAAGAAGCAATGAAGTCAATTTTGATAGTGCACCTAAATAAGATTGCTGAATTCTTTTTATAGAGGAAAAATAGTAAAGTAATTTCAACACAACAATGTGAAGATCAATGATACCCCTACAAAAAAGATGATAGTTCACATCATACTTAATATTTTTGACTAAATAATACCCATGTGAAATTATAAACTTTTTTGTAGTAAATTTCACATCATACTTTTGTAAAAGAAAGTTGATATTTCAATTCATATTTATTTTTTTTACTAAGACAATACCCATGTGAAATTTTAAACTTTTTTGTAATAAATTTCACATCATAGATTTATAAAAGAAAAATATTTAATTATGGTAAATATTTAGAAGAAAAATAAATAAAGAGTAGGTGTTTAAAAAGAAAGAAAGAAATGTGTACAGTGTACGTGTTTTCTAAAAAAAGAAGTGTGTCCATCCAAATGGCAAAATGGGGTTGTCTACAAAATAATCGAAAGGAGAATAGTGCATACAAAAAATTACATTCATTAAAAAAATATTACATTCATAAAAAAATAAATTCATAAAAAAAGTTACATTCATTAAAAAAAATATTACATCCATAAAAAAACAATACTACAAACAAATTACTAATTATTCGAGCGACTGAAGATATGTCCGATCAAATCCGCCGTTAGTGCATTGTGAATCTCTTGACTTTGAATTTCTTGGCGGTTTCTTCGTTTCTTTTCTTCGTCGATTTCTTCGTACATGGGCACCTCGTTGTCTAGGTTGGATTGACAAATCGCAAACCCATTGTCGTCTACGATTATATTATGAAGAATAATACATGCGTACATGATATTCTTCATTTTTGTTTGAGAAAAACATTTCGACAGACGATCTAGAATATGCCACTTAGCCTTCAAGACCCTGAAGGCTCGTTCAATATCTTTCCTCGCCGCCTCGTGAGCTTTTTTGTAGGTCTGACGTTTAAGACCCATTGGTTTAGAGAGGGACTTGACAATCGTGGAATAATATGGATATATACCATCGGCCAAATAATATCCATGCTTGTAAAGCGTCCCTCTAATCTCAAAAGACGAGTCGGGTGCGGTCTCATTAATCCAATCGTCAAAAACAGGCGATTGATCGAGAACGTTGATGTCGTTGTTCGAGCCCGCGACACCAAAAAAAAGCTTGCCAAAACCACAAGACATTTGAAGCAACAGCTTCGATCATGATAGTAGGCCTGGGATGTTTGACAAAATAACTTAAAATTTTCTAATTTCTAGGGCGAGTATTATATAAAAATCTATCAATCATAAAGTAGAATTGATGACTATTTTGTGTTATTCTTCCTCCAAGTATAAAGATAACAACCTTTTTAAAAACTTTTTGAACCATAACTTTAT